GCCAGAAAGATTTTGAAAAGGCTCAAGAACAACTGAAGCTTTTGAGAAAGGATCCTGGGAATGAAACAAAGTTGAAGCTCTACGCTCTGTTTAAACAGGTAGGCTTGACTTGTGTTGTTTTGTAAGGTGCATTTATAATCTGAGGGAATGGACCTGTAAAATATTTACTTAAAATAGGCGTTTAAATCTATTGTGTCTTAACAAGCTCTTCGTTTCAAGTGCTCAAATTCAGTTCTTGAAATGCCAGCCCCTCAAACCCTGCCTGAATTCTGAGGGAAGCCAAACCTGTTTAATCTTACAAATCATGCTTTGAATAGAAACCTTTATTCAAATAAATAGAGCGAATTTACATCAGCTGTGTGATGCCTTCCATATATAGGATATAGTGCTGCAGCTCTGGAAAATGGCTTATGCCTAGGGAAACAGAGTGTGCCATGTGCTTCCTCTTAAATTTGTTGTACCTACAGTCAGTCAGCTGGGCCTGTAATATAATGGTGTTGACATTTGAAGGTTCATTCCTGGGGTTTTTCTCTTTCTTTCTTTTGTATAGTCATTGTTGTCTTTTTTTTGTCTCTCTCTTTTTTTTTTTTTTTTTTAAATTCAAGGAACTATTCATCCACACTTTGAGTGGTGGTTTTTCTTTACTACAGCATGGAAGGAGACTTTTGGACAGATAGCTGCAAGTCCTTAGCAGGATTTGTACTGGTATTTGTGGATCAAGATTGGCTGCAGGGTCAGTGCAGGCTGTGGCTTGTTATATTGAAGTAGGTAATCAATTGCTCTTTTAAATAAAAACTTAGACAGCTGACTGTTCCAGGTAGTTCTACTAATTAATAATAATGAGCTCATGAATGCGTTCTTTCTTTCCCACCTCCCACTTGAACAATTTCTCTCCAATAGCGTGCTTTTCTTCAGGAAAACTGATCACAGAATACTTCAGGATAGCTCAGACTCTTGCACTTCAACTGGTCCAACGCCCTTGCTCATAGTAGGGCCAACTTTGAAGTAAGATTCAGCTTAATGGATCCCGTGCAATGGTTTCTTTGTTCACACAGTTTACAATTCTTTAACTTTCTTTTTAAGTATAAAACTTGCACAATTTTTGAGATAGGAGAACTTAACATGCATGGGCATTGTGGAAACTAGTGTCTCATATTGGTTAGGTGCTTCTGAAAACCCAGCACCAGGTATTAAGAAACAGCAGACACTGAAAACAGCACGGTATGTGAACTGTCTGAATATTGCCCAACCTCTAGGTATTCCTTCTGTCTCAGAGTTGAATGCTGTATCCTGATCAGATAAATATTCCTAACACACATCATCTTTTCTACCAAGGCATCTGAATGTTAATCAAAGATTTAAAGAAGTTTTGTTTCACTCTTATTTTCAGGCTACCGAAGGTCCCTGCAATTCTCCGAAACCAAGTATGCTGGACTTTGTCAAGAAAGCCAAGTGGGATGCATGGAATTCTCTTGGCAATTTGTCTCAGGTGACAATACCTATAATTTCCCTTAGATACTTTGTAGATTACTCTACCTTGAAGTGCCTGGACTGTAAGTGAATGGCTGACATCTAAACATATTACATGCTAGTTGAGCAGCTCTGCTTCAGACACCAGAATGTTTTGCACTGTATTCTACAGTCATTTCACTGCTTCAGTGTTTGGAGATTTTTTTACTGTGTAAGCGTAGTTCTAAATTATTACTAACAGCTTGTATCAGCATAAAAGATCTTACATATGTAGTGACTTCCAAAAAAAGTAGTGTTTTTCACATTATATTCTATTCTACTGTTCTCTTGAAGAAAGATGGATGCAGTTTCTGAGTTCTTACAACAAGAACAAATCTGTGAATCCATCATATTGATAATTACATCATTTTAAAAAGTCAGTTTCTTATGTGACTGACTAAAAGGCTAGAAAAAAGCGGTGTATTGAGAGCCCCTCTTCATTCTTTCGCAGTATGTCTTGACATATTTAACACCTTTCATAACCTTTAAAGAAGTCTACTTCAGGTGAAACGAGCAGAAAGAATATAGATGCAAAGACACATGTGTGTTCTTTTTTCACGCAGACTGTAGTAAGTCTGACATTGCAGATAGCTACCACACTTTCTTCAGCTATTGTTAGGTGAAGAAAACATAAGCTTTACAAACCAGCTGTGACACTCCTACATTAAGCCTGCTGTCAGGAGTAGTTTCTGAGGTCAGTCAAAGATATTACTTCATACAGAACGGGTTTTTCGTGCTTTTTTTTTTCTTTTAAAAGAAAACATACTTGCATGATTTCCTGAACATAACGTATTCTTGTGCTGCTTTGGGGGATTTGGGGTATGTTTTGGTTTTTTGTTTGGGGTGTTTTTTCGGGTGGCTTTGCAGCTTTTGGGAATAGCCAGGAAACACTTAAAACAATCTGCTCTGCAAGTTACGGTGGAGAGGGAACAGACAGTTTCCTGTGCTACAGGTTATGGATTACAGAGTTGCTCAAAGTATATTACCATTTATCATGGTTGCCCAGAGAAGTAGTGGAGGCCCCTTCCCTGGAAATGCTCAAGGCCAGGTTGGATGAGGCTCTGAGCAACCTGGTCTAGTTGAAGATGTCCCAGCTCACTGCAGGGGGGTTGGGCTAGATGACCTCTAAAGGTCCCTTCCCACCCAAAGCATTCTGTGATTTCAAGAAAATAGGTTGTAACAACCAAGACCTTACAATTCTTTTATATCACTGCTTACTTTAGAAAGAGGGAGGCAGGATTCTTTAGGCTTTTGCATGTTGTGTTTGTACTAAATGAAAACTAGTGTCTTCAAGCAATTTTAAGATGCCATAGAGCCATTTCACCACTCTTCAGAAATACATATTCTGAAATAAAAACTTATTTTGTTGGAGAAATGTCAAACTGGAAAGCAGAAACAAAGGATCCATAGAAATGTGTAAATGCTGGGAATATGACAAAGATATCTCAGGTAATTTTAGGCGTGGATGGGGGCACTCCTCCAACAAAATAAATGTTGTCAGCCCAGCATCTGCGCACTTTTATTTTGTAGATCCATTGCTGCTGCTTTCCAGATGACTTTAAGCATGATCTGTTCATGAACTGCAGTGTTTAAATACAGCATATTCCCCTTCTCACCCTAATTAGAATGCTTTCTAATTTAGATTTTTTTTTCCTTTTGTCTTGAAGCACAGTGTCATTTCCTTCCCCCCACCCCTGGTACCCATTGTCTGAATAGCACAACAAACTGATTTCCGTGTCAACCTTTGGTAACCTTGTGTGATTTCTTTTTTTTCTTTTTTTTTTTTCCCTTTTTCTTTCATTGCAGGATAATGCCAGACAGAAATATACTGAACTTGTCTCAAGTCTGGTCTCTGCAGAATCTGCTGACCAGAAAAAAGATGCTTCTGCAGAAGAGGGCAGACGTGACGGCTATGAAACAATACTAGTTACCACCAAAAACAACATCACAAAGATAATGTTTAACCGACCTGATAGGAAAAATGCCATCAACCATAAGGTAAAGAAATTAACTTGGGAGGATTAATGATTTTTTCTTTCCTGGCTAAGCTACTTAAGTGTTTAGAGAATCATTACTACAGGTTTAGCAGAATTAACTGAAGCATGGTGGTCTGAATTCTATGAGGGCTTAGTATCTTGCCTCTGATAACAACCTAAAGAATAAATATCCAGTACAAAATGAAACCATTCAGCGAAAATTTTACAGCCTGGGCTTTTCTGCGTCTTTTGGTTTCTTTCAAACTTAGTATAGGATTACAGTCTGCACTAAATTCAAATGGCAAACTACAGGACGACTAGGCTGTTTTGTGGCTACAAGTTTTGACTGCAGCCTTATGTATAAGAGAGTATGTGTGCAGCCTACTTTGGCTCAGCACCATTGTGGGTATGTCTAGATAGTCTTCCAGTTCCCATGGCTGGCTGCGTGAGGAAGTCCATCCTGTTGGAAACAGCATGACCAGCTGTAAGGATACCAGAACACAGACTTCACCCCACTGCTGCTAATTCTTTAATATATTATTTTTGCTCACTTAAACTACTGCTCAGGTTTTAAAATTAACTGTTTCCATTTAACATCTGTTTTCCAGAGGACCTTATTTTGTCATTTAGGTTTGCCTTGGAAGTCTAGAGTATTGCAAGTATGTGTGTTTATGGTGAGAAATACCTCACATGTAATGCTTGACTTTCTGTGGATGCAAATTTTTTTCATACTTATAAGGACCATAGTTAATCTGTCTCTCAAGTTCCTTGTTGTCATTGTGACTCTCCTTTTTATGATCTTTTGCACCATCACATTTGTACTTTGTTGACTTTCCTCTTATGCAGATGTACAGAGAAATTATCAAAGCACTTGAAGAAGCTGGAAAAGATGATTCTACCATAGCAGTTATTACTGGTAACACACTTCATATGCATCTCTTAGATTTATTTTACGTTACGCCGAAGTACAGTACTGACATGAACTGTCTACCTGTATTTAGACTAAGATAGAATTGTGTAAGTGAGGAAATTCCTTCCTCTAGTATAGACCAAAGGTTTTCCAAACTGTTTTGGCAAAATTCTTTCAAGGTGGTGTTTCAAATTCTTTAGCAAGCTTGCTGTTAACATCAGAAAGTTTTTCTGAGGTGAGAAGATAGACATGGAATACTCCTAAGGGCTTTATTACTTTTGAGTAGCTGATATATCTGCTCCACAGCATCTTCACTGCTGCTTTTGAAGTTCAAAGTTTTGAAGTTTTTAGTCAATTTTCTCTACCCCTGTGATCTGTTGGAACATACTAAAAGCAAGCCCCTCAGATCCTGCACTGGCACGGCCAGTAGAGAGTTTACACTGCGCATTTACCTATAATCATCAGAAAAAACCTGATACTTTGCTGGTTTGGTTTTATTTCCCCCCCTGTGGCTGCAATAGGAAAG